CGAAGCCCAATATAAAAATATTCTTATATTTTTCTACTTCTCGAAAGGGGGGAGAAGATAGAGAAGTTAATTTTCGCTTGAAGCCTTCTGCAGCATACATAAATGGAAAAAAAAAAACATGATCAATCAAGCGACATTCCCCTTCGAAGGATATCTTAGAAATTGGAAATTTATCTGTTGAACTATGTTCTCGGACATTTGGGAAAACTTCATGAGTTTGAGAAATACAACAAAAAATAATTTCAAATAGAAATGAAAGGAAATTTTTGAAGTAAAGTTTAAGCTGAGGTTTAGCTTCTGCTGATACTCATTGGAAAATTTTAAGGACTACGTCTCAGGAGATTGATCATGGACAACATTGCGATACAAGGCACAGTATGGAATTGGCATCTTCTCGAAAGGGGGGAGTGTGTCGGAGACCCGACAATGAAAGCACTTGCTTTATTGGGAAATAATATTTCCTTTCCCTGATTGTAATAGAGGCTTATGGGAATAAGTTTCCCCCGTATGTTTGATACACTATACCCGGTCCCCCACCTTCAGAAAAGGAGATTTTGTCGTGAAATACTCCTGCTAGACTACAATAAATATTGTCAATCTCTCTTCGAGCGATTGACTTTCCCATACAAACATTTATGGAAAGTTTTATGGTCTTGTCACATCTCTCAGAGTTTGTGACTATTAACCTTTCTAGTAATGGATTAACTTCCGCTATGTCGAAACTCTCAGAGTTAACGACTTTAATTCAACTGGTGATCAAATGGCTCTTCTAATCAACAGGCTATGTCGCTCACTCTCTGAGAAGCGACCTTTGCTCAATGGGGGAAATGCACAGAGCCGCGAATACTCTGCATGCTCTGGCCTGGTCTATTTAAAGAAAAGAAGACTCTTCACAAGGAATCATTAATAGGAGGAAATAATGTGATTCACAATTAATTTTCCCTTTCCTCCCTTCCCTTTTTCTTGTCCCTTCCCTTTGTAAATAAATTTATATTTTTTAATTTATGCTTTTAATTTATCTGTATTTTATTTAATTTAAATAAACTATTTACTTATTTTTGAATTAATATTAGTAATTAATTATTAAGTACTTCAATTATTATAACGAGTCCTCCCGCCCAATTATTTAATTTTAGGTAGCCTCAACGACTAAATTCCCGAGTTTAGGGGTTCTCCCCGACTCATAGGCACCAGCAAGCCCGGCAAAACGAAAAGGCCAATTTCCTGGATCCAACGTCTACTCATCTTTGGCGGCATCTTGCCAAACTTACGTCGCAGGCCCTCGGGTCTGCGACAAAACTAATTCTGACGAAAATTTCCTCTGACGAAACTAACCTCTGACGAAACTACCGGACACGTAGAAATGTATTCATAATATTGCCGGCTTGAGAGCGATTTGTATCATATGTATTTAGGCACAATATACCAATTTATTTATCAGTTTATAGCACTGATATCCAAAAATATATAGTATAGCATATGGACCTCCACATATTTACACTCAAAATTCATATTCTTATAATATTTATTAATTAATTTAAATGGTTAGGAGCAAAAAACTCGTATTCCCGAGCAAAAACTAAAGTGATTGAAATGTGACAGTTAAACCTCACAAAACACCTTCTATTTACGATACAATTTTTTAAAAGTTACCATTGTTCATAATTCTTACCAGAAATTTTATAGCTGCCGTAACTAAGCTATTATCCTAAATATGCCAACTTATTTATCAGTTTTTAACACTGACATCCAAAAATAAATAAACCCACATCTGTAAAGAACGTCTCCATATTTACACTCGAAATTATATTCTTATAATATTTATTAATTAATATAAGTGATAAGGAGAAAACTCAATTTTTTGAGCAAAAACAAAAAAAGTGATTAAAGTGTGACAGTTAAACCTCACAAAACACCTATTTACGATAAGATCCTTTATAAGTTATCATTTCAGATTCTATGAATGTATTCATAATATTGCCCGCCTGAGAGCGATCTCTATCATATGTATATAGGCACTTTGCCTTTATCAAATTTTAAGTTTTTTAATTGTGTACAGAATTTTTATAGCCTCTGTAATCAAGATAATACCCTACAATATTCCAATTAATTTATCAGTTCATAACACTGATATTCAAAAATACATACGCGCGGTTAACGGGATTTAAACTTATTTACTCTCGAAAGTCATATTCTTATAAATATTTATTAATTAATATAATTACTAAGGAGCAAAATCTCATATTTTTGCGCAAAATAAAAAAAAAGATATTAGTTTACAGTACCTCACATAACACCTTCTATTTACAATACAATTTACGATTCAAAAACTGAAAATTAACATATTTTGAGTTTTTTAATTCTTTCCAGAATTTTTATAACCGTAAACTATTATGTAACAATACTCAAATATATTTATCAGTTTATAACACTGATATTCAAAAATAAATTATACACACGCCATAATCACACTAAAAATTAATAGTCATATAAATATTTATTAATTAATATAATTGCTAAGGAGTAAAAACTCATATTTCTGCGCAAAATAAAAAAAGATACACTGCTCCACATAACTATAACCTCACCCTAAATTTTCAAATTTCTCAACTTCTACCGAATCAATCGGGCTGATTTTTATTTTATATTAATTAAAGCAGGTAACAATTCATATAAACCCGAGAAATCGAAAAAATTTTTGTTCAAAAATTTTTTATCCAATTTTTTCAAAAAACACCTTCCACATAACTATAACCTCACCTTCAGAAATCATATTAGGAATGCTCAAAAAATTTTGGAAAAATTCACGCAAACATTTCCTTTGATAATAAGTAGAAAAGCAAAAAGAACGAAGTCTGTAAGTGCTTTTTTCATCGAGATTCAAAATCTCGAAAATCAACGGGAAATGGGGGGTACAGTACTTTAAAAATATTTTTACAAGTGTATACTGTAGATAAAATTTTTTAATATAGTCCATCTGAAAGCCAATAAAATTTACTACAAAATCCACTAAGTTCTATCCAGCACAAAAATTCTACCTTCGAGGAGCCATGGGTTAAATGAGATGATGAATAAATTCACCCAAATCACCCCATAAAATGGTATTATTTCGAGTTTCTAAATTTAACCGATTGCTCCCCAGTGATAAAATTTTTCTCAATGATAGGACTAAGTGGATTTTGTAGTAAATTTTATTGGCTTTCAGATGGACTATATTAAAAAATTTTATCTACAGTATACACTTGTAAAAATATTTTTAAAGTACTGTACCCCCCATTTCCCGTTGATTTTCGAGATTTTGAATCTCGATGAAAAAAGCACTTACAGACTTCGTTCTTTTTGCTTTTCTACTTATTATCAAAGGAAATGTTTGCGTGAATTTTTCCAAAATTTTTTGAGCATTCCTAATATGATTTCTGAAGGTGAGGTTATAGTTATGTGGAAGGTGTTTTTTGAAAAAATTGGATAAAAAATTTTTGAACAAAAATTTTTTCGATTTCTCGGGTTTATATGAATTGTTACCTGCTTTAATTAATATAAAATAAAAATCAGCCCGATTGATTCGGTAGAAGTTGAGAAATTTGAAAATTTAGGGTGAGGTTATAGTTATGTGGAGCAGTGTATTAGTTTGACATTACCTCACACAACACCTATTTACAATACAATTTACGATTCAAAAACTGAAAATAACATATTTTGAGTTTTTTTTAATTCTTTTCAGAATTTTTATAACCGTAAACTATTATGTAACAATACTCAAATATATTTATCAGTTTATAACACTGATATTCAATAATACACAAAATGGCGCGTTACATCCACATATTTAGAATCAAGATTCAAAGTCTTATAAATATTTATTAATTAATATAATTGCTATGGAGCAAAAAGTCATCATTTATGAGCCAAATATCAGCTCATTACGATCTTTTTGGTTTATACATCACAAAGAATTTTTTAATTGAAAAATGTCTGTCTTAATTATAATTCTAATCCTTTACGTCTACCTTAGGATCCCATCTCTATTTAAAAACTTTTTAATCAAGCTATTATTATAAATTCTCCAGTTTATTTATCAGTTAATAACACTGATATACAAAAATAAATCGAACACATTTACATAACCACACTAAAAATGTCTTATAAATAATTATTAATTAATATACTAATTGCTAAGGAGCAAAAACTTGTATTTTTGAGCAAAATATTTTTGTTAATATTTTTTTCAAAACATACATCACAAACAAATTTTTTTACTCAAAAAATGTCTGGCTTAATTAAAATTTAATCCTTTACGTGTACCTTAGGATATATTTTTAAAGTTCATTAAACTGTAAAATAAGGTGTTTTTTGAGTTAAAAACCAGCCAAAACAAATAATTATAAACTACAAGTCGTTTAAAATTCTTTTTAATACCACGCGATTTTAAAACAAAAATAATTTTTTTCAATATAGTTTTGTATTTTAGCTCATTTAAAAATCATGTTATAGTATAACTAACAGATTTTTTTAAAAAGTAAAGTACACCTGGCTTAAGAAGCAAAAAAATTTTAAAATACGCATGTGCTTGTTATTGAGGAAATTAAATTTTTTTATTTGTCTGATAATTTTTAATTAATCTGTGGACATTGAAAAATATTTTTTTTGTGGTTAAAATAAGCTTCCGGTCGTGCCTGGGGAAAATAAAAAATTTTTTGAGCGAAACGAATCAAAAAAAATTAAAAATCGTTTCGTGAACTGAAAGACAATAAGGGGGCAGGCTTCGATCCTGCGACCTACTGACAGTTATTGCTAGGCGCTTTCGCTCACCACGTACAGGTCTCTACTAACTGAGCTACCGATCGCTGCTTTCACCTCCTTTTTTAATAGATCTTAAACCCCCGCCTAGTAAACGTTTTAAATGCTAGCAAGCTGGATCTTTCTCTTTATTCCACGACGAAAGTATCATTTAAGTCTTCTGGGCTCTGATATATAATTATCATTAAATATTATTCTTATAGAGCAAAGTCATTGACATGGAAATAAAAAAGCAGGCAGAGATGAATGATAAAGTTGTAAAGATATTGCTGCTTGGAGCTTCTGATTCAGGCAAAAGCACAATAGCTAAACAAATGAGGTGAGAAAACAATAAAAAATAAAATGACAGATTAAGTATTTAATTTTAAGGATATTACACACTGATGGATTCACTCACGAAGAGCGTCAACATTACAAGTAAATAAATAGATAAATAAAGATAATTTGAAAACAGCATATGATTCGTGTTTTTAAAAGCATGGGAAAGGAATAAAGAAAACCTCGGAAAATAAGGAAACTTTAAACGTGAACCTCTAAAATTAAGAACACTAAAATGACCAAAATGATTCGCAAATTAATACCACTAGTATGTTCAATTACCGATTTTTAAACTCCGAAATTTAAATTCGTGAATCTTGAATTCACAAATATTTTTAATTCACGATTTTCGGGGATCGTGAATCGCAGATATGTTGTTTAATTATCAGTGATTCACACCGATATACAAAAATATAAACAATTTATCAACGAAACAAATGTAATGATGAAAACCTCAATTCTTTATATAAATGATTTATCAAATTATTTAATATTAAGCAAATCAACCAATTTCATTTACTCAAAAATATGTATATTAATTAATTCAATTAAGATATATGGTTCAAAGTAACTACATTGACTCCTTCGTCCACATAGCCAAAGGCATATATAAACTACAAATAGATATTCCTCCATCGGAACGTGAACTAATTTCGACATTCGAACAGTCTTATTATGGCCAATATTTTAACATGACCGAATCAAACGATTTAATTGGAATTGTTTGTTTTTAAACTTTTTTGTAAATTTAGTTTCCAATCAGATTGTTCAATTTCTTAACTGTAAATGTGTTAAAGCTGCATGCTCACGGCTAATGGAATTTTATGTGCCAGACAATACTACTTAGTAAGTGTTATTTTATTTATGATTAATTTTCTGTTCGTTTCCTGGATTTATTCTGATCTTATCCTTGTTTTCCGATAATTCTGATTTTTTATTACTAATTTGTTCTGAATTTTATTTGTTTGAATTTGTTCTGAGTTAATTTAGTTTTGTTAATATTCTGATTTTGTTTTAATTAACACGTTTTTATTTAATTCTGGTTTCTTGTTAATATTCTGTATTGTCTTTTACTTATTCTATAGCATCTAAACATGTTTTTATTTAGTTCTGTTTTGTTTTGTTAATTTCTTATTTAGTCTTTATTAACAAGTTTTAATTTAATTCTGTTTTTTTGATAATTTCTTATTTTCTTTGATATTCAGTTTATATTCTGATTTATTCGTAGTTAGTTCTGACTTTATTCAAGAGATGTTCTTTCTTGTTCTTTCATTGTTTGTGTGTCTGATTTAATTTTCTTTTTATTATTTTGCTTAAAGCTCCTGATATATTTTATCGTTTTATTTAAGCCTTCTGAGCCAAGTCTCCAGAATAATACATCCAGAATACAGCCCTTCACTTGATGATATAATCAGAGCTAGGGCTTTAACTAAAGGGATTTATGAAATTATTTTCTCTTTCAGGCAGTTTACCATAAGGTAAAATAGAAAAAAATATATTAAGCAATAAAAATTTACATTAAGGTTAATTGATGTAGGCGGTCAGAAAACAGAACGTCGAAAGTGGATTCATTGTTTTGGTTGGAATTTTAAATTTTACTAAATATATAAAATCTAATTTTTATTTAAAGAGGGTGTCACCGCTATTCTGTTCATTGTTTCACTTGCATGTTACAATAATGTATTGGAGGAAGATGCAAATATTGTGGGTTAAATTTTAATTTAAAATCTCATTATTGTCAAGAAGTCGGGAAAATTTTCCTTAATATCAAGACGCTGATATGTTCGCAAATGTTAATTAATAAACATTTGTTTCGAATAAGAAAGAAAGACAAAACATAAATCATTTATTGTATGAGCCGTTCACAGAAAATAATCTCTCCGGTAGTTGATGATGAACTTGAAAAATAAATTTAAAAAATTAACGAACCCTCATAATGAGAAAACCAGGCCCTCCTTCCGAATACAACTGTTAGGGGAGACGATGTAAACTAGGTAATTCACATACATGAGAGCAGGAAGCGGGAAATTCCCTGCATTCCGGTCCCCCCTCCCATAATGGGAGAGATCTCAGAGAGAGTCGTATACAAGTACAACTCTCCCCCTCCTAACAGGAGACGGCGGCCGGTGGTTCACAGAGTCAAAAAATTTTAGGGAAATTATACAGTAGTCGACAAAAAGATAGGGACAAACGCAAGCAAAATGAAAATCACCTATTTTCTCGGTTAAAAATCGATTTTAGAAAAAAATTTTTGATTTATTAAATACTAGATTTTATGCTCTATTTAATGAGTAGAAAATTTGTCTGTTTAATTTTTTATAAAATTCAACCCTTATTGAAAAACAAAAGGTATGCTATTTTAAGCCCGACAAAAAGATAGGGACAAGTCTTGTAACTAAGTTCTCATAAAAGCAAAAAATCTACAAAATTTTGTATAAGCATATTGATCGATAATAAGAAGAAATAAAAGAGAACTAGGTCCATATCTCATTTCGTTGTCGAAATCTAGATACCCCAAAAATCAACGTAAAATAGGTTTTTTCGACTTTAAAATTTTTTTCGGACCCCTTATTGATTGTTTTAAATTTTCATTTTAGGCTTATTCGATAGATCTTTAATTGTGCTATAAACGTGACAAATTTCATTTTTAAAAAAAATTTCACTCCCGAGATAAAGGACGACGATTCTTCAAAACGTCATTTTTGTGGGAATTTATGGGGTGTTTGTTGCTTTTTGTAACATTCGCCTCTGCAACTAACGAAGTGTTTTTTTCTGAAAAATGAAATTTGGCTAGTTTATAGCAAATTTCAAGAGCTATCGAATAGGCTCAAAATAAAAATTTTAAAAAATCCTTAAGGGGTCGAAAATATTTTTTGAAGTTGCTTACCCTTGCTTTACGTTGATTTTTGGGGTATCGAGATCTCGACATTGAAATGAGATACGGGCCTAGTTCCTTTTTCTTTTATCTTAGTATCGATCATTATGTTTACACGAATTTTTGTAAATTTATTGGTTGAGTGAATAATTAGTTACAAGACTTGTCCCTATCTTTTTGTCGGGCTAAAATTTGCAGTACTTTTCTATTTAAATTATTTCAGTATATCAAAAAATAGTAATCCGCCAGATCTTATACTTATCAAATAGAGCATTAAATGGCGCATTTAATCAAACAAAAAGTTTTTCCTGAAATCGATTTTTAGCTGAGAAAATAGGTGATTTTCATTTTACTTACGTTTGTCCCTATCTTTTTGTCGACTACTGTATAATAGTCATCTAGTTAATTAAAAATATTAGATGAGGTGTAAACAAAATACACAAACTTCCCTTTAATTTCTAAATTTCTCTATCTCTATAACATACAGTCAAGAAGCAGAGAGGCTGTGCAATTTTTAGAGATTCTATGTTCTAGTTGTTTAACTAGTGATAGTCAGACTATGTTTGTTACCAGAGGTGGGTCGGAATTCCGACTTCCGATTTCTCACGTTTTTTTCTTCCATTTCCGACACCTCTGACTGTTCCGACCCACCTCTTCCTGGTACGTAGACTAAGCTTGGTACATACAAAAAGTGCTTAAATTAATTCAGAGTTGACCTATGCCTTAATATCTGGATTACTTCAGCTTCTCTGTTACTAATCAAATTATTTTTTAGAATCAAATGACTGACACAAAGGATTTGTTCAAACAAATATACAGAAATAAATTTTTGAGGCCGTCATCTTTAATAATGTTTTTGAATAAAATGGATATTTTTGCTGAAAAATTGAAATATGCTCCTCTTGAAAATTTTTATCCGGAATTTAAAAGTGAATTTCGAATGAATACTTAATATAAATTTTAAAAAATTCAGAAGAATTAACTGATGAAATGACAGATGAAGAATTGTTCGATGTTGCAATTGATTTTGTCAAATCCATTTTTTCAAAGGTTAACCCAAGCAAAATTATTCATTAAAAATTAACTAAAAATTTTTTAAGATCAAGGGAAATGATCGTAGGCCGCTTTATATGCATACAACTAATGCAACTGACACTAGGAATGTCGGTGAGTGATTTACCAAATTTACAAAAAAATTTGAGTTGTAAGACCCCATACTTGTTCGTCTATTGTTCTTTTACTTTGTTCTATTTGTATTTAGAGTATTGTTCTTTCTAGTCTGAGCTTTTAGATTCAGTTCTAGTTAATCTTCAAAAAACTAAATTTTGATCCTGAATAATTAATTTTATTTATCACGGAGTTAGATTTCAGGTTACTGTATTTGCCCAGATAATTACCCCCTCATTAATTGTACCTACTTCTGCCATAAATTGAAACAATAATTAACTAGGGTAATTAATTAGGCATCTACGCAAATAAACTACCTCCAAAGGCAAAGAGATTACTCCCAAAGGCTTAAAGTGAAACTCAAGTTAATTCTGACGCTCTTTGAAAATTTTTAAATTTTGTTTTTAACTATTCTTATGTGTTGTAGTGATTGTACAATTTCTGATATCTATTTTTTTGTTTATTAACCTTCTATATTTATATGTCTAACAAAAATTGATTATATATGTCATAGTTAATTTTATGAAACGCCCATTTTAGCGCCTCATAAAAGGCGAGAGAGAATAGGCCAAATTAACTTATTCACTCATTAATTAGTTTTGGGCCCGATCAAAAGTTGGCCTGTCCTCTCTCCCTTTTATTTATTAATATATTTGTTGAATAAAAAGTTAAAAAGAAGGCCTTCGTTTTTAATAGGTGGATCGGCGCGCCCCAAGGGTGGGTTACCACTCTTGGGGCCCAACGCCGACTAGCTCCTGTAAAAAGGGGTTAGGGATATATAAGATGGCGCTCCTGTAATTTTCTCCACCTAATGGAAAAATCCCTACTCCACCCAAAAAAAATATTTCTAAAAATATTCTTAAAATATTTATTTAAAAAAATTAATTCTTCTACCCATTAATCAAATTAATTTTGGCGAGCGGAAAAAAATTCTTATTTATTAAACTAGTTTTTTTGGACTCCTTCTTTTGCAGCAACGCGCAAATAGGCCGGAAGTGGGCAAATAAGGAGGAATTTGGGAACGCCAAAATTTTTTATCACAAGAATTACAACTATTTCTTGTGACATTACAACAAAAAATTTTGCGCGAACAAGTTTTGGGCGTAGCCAAAGTAAAGGGAGAAGTTAATATAAAAAGGAGTTTTATTCAGTCAATTTGGCTCACATTTGATTACTAAAGAGCCGAAAAGGAGCGAAGGAAATTTTCATACACGGATTTGATCAAAGGATACACGCGGATTCATCAAGGATACATAAGGATTTCTCACACAGACGGATTCATTCAAAGGATACACGGAGGGAACAAACGGAGCATAAGGAAAATAAACACAAAGGATATTCTGAGGATATTACCGATAAGGAGAAGAGGGAAAAAGGCTAAAGCGAAGGAGTTCAATTGGAGCTAAAAGTTTTAGTTTGGAGTTGATTGTTAAGTCTGAAGCATTTGAAGTGAGAGAAGGATAAAGGTTGGAAGGATAAAGGACACTTATTCGCGGATTTTGGAAAATTCTGGATATAATCTCTTGAAACAGGCCTCTAGTAGAATTTTATAGCCAGTCTTGGAATAAAAGCTTAAAAAACGTGCACGTGGAGTAAATTAATTGAGAAATAAAAGCTCGAATCATTTTCCTAACAGATCAGGAGTGTATAACTGCAGTATCGCTTCTGGTTCCCGTTTGTGGGCAAAAAAGCTAAAAGAGGAGATATTATTTGAAGTGTTAGGAAAAGTCGAGCATTGAAATAAAATTGGAAAAAAAATAATAAAATCAAGTCCGGACAAAGACTGACTAAAGAATTAATAGAAGCTTATGATGAAAGAAGAGGATATTTCAGGATTGGAAGGGGACAATACAAAGGATAAAGGGGATAATACTATTGGTACGAGCTCAAGTGGACTTCCATACCCTACCTTCTTTGACGGAAATGGAGATTTTTTGAGCTATCTAAGGACTTTCAACCGGATTGCAACTGCACACAATTGGACTCCCGCGAGATGCACGCAGATTTTACCGCTTTATCTACAAGGGTCTGCACTTGCGATTTACGAATCAATGCCCGGGGATCAAAAATCGCGGTGGAAGACGCTTGTAGAAAGCTTGGCAGGGAGGCTAAAAAAGATATCAAATAAGGAAAGCGCACGCAAAAAATTGGTGGAAAGGAGACAGGAGATGGGCGAAGGATTAGAAGAATTTGCAAGGGATTTAATGAATCTAATGGAAGCAGCTTATCCTGAGAATGCGTTTGGAATTGACCTTGCTTCAATTAAATTAAATGACGAACAAAGGACAGGGTTGAAGGGGGAAAATGAAAAAATGGTCAAAAGGTTTAAAGAGGAGATATGCATGGAGAGATTTAAAGCCGGACTATTACCAGAACTTAGGGAAAAGATTATTTTTATGAAAGCGCCCTCTTCATTGGCAGAAGCAATAGCGCAAGCAAAAAGGGTTGATGAATTAAATCGGACAATTAAAGATGAGACAAGGAAAAGACTGGAGAAAATAGAAGTTAAGGCGGCGCTAGCGGAGGTTAATGAAGTCAGGGATTCATACCAAAACTATGACCAATATTACTATGAGGAACAATTCAAGGAGCCAAACGGATGTAGTGAGAATTGGGAAGAGACTGATAAAAATTGGGGTGATGAACAAATGGACCCAAATTTTGACCAATACTATGACAATGACCAAAATTATGACGATGAAGAAGGCCAATGGTTTCCACTTGGGAGTAATGAGAACTGGGGTGAGGAATATTGTCAGGATCAAGGATATCAGAACTGGCCCACGGACGGAACAGATTTTCAGGAGTATTAAAAAAAACATTTGGCGACGGGATTCATTTTTCGAAATAAACTTATTTGCTGACCCCCCAGGAGAGGAAGAGAAAGTGGATTTTGGCGTTTATTGTTTGACATTTTCTTGGATTGGCGCTCTGTTGACATATACATAATTTTTTTCCGTTTTTGCCAAAATTTTCTTGATCTAATACATACAAGTGCAGGAAATTGTTGAATTGAAATTACGTTTAGCGCGGGATAGATTTGATTTTTAAAAGAATTGAAGCGAAGAATTGACAAAATATTTAGAAGCACATTGGACAAGAAAGAAACGACACTCAGATAAAGAAAACAGAATTTCACTTCACATTTTCCGCACTTTTATTTATCCGCTTTTTCTGTTGTATCCCCCACCCCCGCGTATAGAATGTCATAGTTAAGTTTATGAAACGCCCATTTTAGCGCCTCATAAAAGGCGAGAGAGAATAGGCCAAATTAACTTATTCACTCATTAATTAGTTTTGGGCCCGATCAAAAGTTGGCCTGTCCTCTCTCCCTTTTATTTATTAATATATTTGTTGAATAAAAAGTTAAAAAGAAGGCCTTCGTTTTTAATAGGTGGATCGGCGCGCCCCAAGGGTGGGTTACCACTCTTGGGGCCCAACGCCGACTAGCTCCTGTAAAAAGGGGTTAGGGATATATAAGAATATAATTTTCAAAATTTCTATCACAAAATTTCTATTATTTCAAGACTTTGTGTTCAACGCAACTTGTGACATTATTCTAACAAAAAATATGAAGTCGAACGGAATGGCATAATTATATGATTTGGAAAATATTTGAAGTCTCGTTTATCAATTTTTGGATTTATTAGGATTCTGAAATTTTTTTACACTCAATACAATTTTATAAATTCACCTCCTATGAACTTATACCCATAATTATCGTTAATATTATCCATATTTAATCAATTTTTGTTAGCTCATATTAAATATTTTTTAGTTTTGTTTGCTTTTTGCTATACATATTCGGTTATCTGCCAAGCTTATTCAATAATAAGTAGAATGAGTTATCCTCTTCTCTCAGTCATAGTGAGGGAATTAAGCTTAAAATCTCTCAAGGGTGTGCGGACATATCGGGATTGGGGTGACAAAAATACTTTCTTGCGTGTTTACGTTTGTTCTAAAACATAAAAACTCCATTCCTCAAACAATAGCTATCGAAGACCCAGTGGCCGTAGGTCCCGAAATCAGTAGGGTAACTGTTCGTACATTGAAATATCCCGATATGTCAATCCCGATATGTCCGCGTGCCCGTTTATCTGCTATGCTTATTCAATAAGAATTAGAATAAGCTACCCTCTTCCCTATATTATATTAAGGGTTTTAGCATCCAATCTCTCAAGTTAGGCGTGAATCTCCTCGAGCATGGTCTAGTTATATCTTTGTTAGAACCACAGTTCCTACTCATATTAACTTCCTAATATATTTACCAGATTAATAAACCATCAAAATCTAAATTTTCATTAATTTTAAAATATTCGCAGAGGTCGTCTTCAATGCTGCCTATGATACTGCTGTAACTAAAAATTTGAAGAATTCTGGGGTTTTATGAAACATTTATATTCGATTACTAGAACCTTACAAACAACCTTATAAATATCACATTTACTAGTCTAGTTTTGGAAGCATCTCTAGTTTGAAGCTTACATATAAATTTAATATTCAGTAGTCTATTAATTTAAAAAAATCTCGGCTCTAGTTTAAAACTTGCGTCCCATGAGCGTTTATGCGTTCCATGATATTCTTTGCGTCCTTTCAGAGTATATGTATCCCAAAAATAGTAAAATAGATGTTCCACAAAACATCTGATGGGACGCCTATACTATTTTTAAGACGCATAAAAGCTCATGGGACGCATGTTTTAAACTAGAGCCAAAACATTTGATTTTAAATTTTTAATCAAATTAATTTTTAATAATTATTTACGAAAAGATTGTAGCATTTTTAAATTTTTATTTTAACTTTTAAATATTTCATAATATTAAATATTCAATTAAATTATCACAAATTCCATTTACACTTCATATCCTTAAGGTTAGCATATAAATCACCAAACAGCTCGATTGAGTAAATATGATCATATACAGCAAATGTATAGGGAAAACCATCTGCACAATATGTTTGTTTATCAAACTTAGAAATCAAAAAAATTGAAGATTTTCTAGTCAAAATTTTGAAATCAAACTTACAGCACCCCCACCCCAAAAATGCCAAGGTTCATCTATACGACTAACATTAGCCTCTTGCGCAACAATACCAGTATAAAGAACATCCTCCATATTAACAGCATTAACTCTTGGACAGGTTTCCAAAATTCTTTTTATCGCAAATGCAGAACACATATAAGTACATCCGTTTACATAATTCGGGTATTTTTTGTGTGGATATACTTCTTCGGGAACATACCTGAATTTTATTTTTTTGATTTTCTTATTGTGATAAAGCTTAATGTAAACTGTCACTTTTTTAAGAGGCTTTGAATTATTAGCACATCCATAAAAATTAAGTAAGAGCGAGGTAAAAGTTTAATCCCGGGCAGACTTCGATCCTGCGACAGTTATTGCGAGCTTCGCTATCTCTTAGTTAGTATACACATTGGGATATTAGTGGGGGGTGGAGTAAAAACATGAAGGAATTTCCACTAGATTCTCTATATGATTTTGTTTATTAAATTCTCAAGGGGAAACTTATGTATAGTAAGAACAGGTAAAAGTTTAATCCCGGGTAGACTTCTGCGACCTCTTGGCAGTTATTGCTAGGCGCTTTCGCTAACCACGTACAGGTGCTCTACCGACTGAGCTACCGGGACGCTGCTTTCACCGTCTCTTTTATTAGATCTTAAACTCTCGCCTAGTGAGCGTTTTAAATCCTAGCCAGCTTGATCATTCTCTTCCTTAAAATTATTAATTATATACCATTTGTGAGATTTTTCACGTATAGGCGCAGTGTTGATCAAAGCATTTCCAAAGCACGAAGCAGGGTTCTTTTCATCCAATTCAAGATCAAATTTAATCTTAATCCAAAAGAAAAGACGTTCTAAGTGGACGACGGTATCATCGTCAGTTTTCATCACATATCTTGCCTGAGGGCAGAATGTTTGTTGCCATTGAAAGGCTGCATGAACCTGTAAAATTCAAAGCATTGTTTAGGTTTTTATTGAGATTAGAAGGCATAGAATCCTATCACAATTTTACATGGATGCATTAATAATCATTCAAATTAGTTGGTCATATGTTTGGGAGTTTTTAAGGATACCCGTTAGCCAGCTGGATCTTTCTCTTCCTTATGATTATTATAATAGTTATACGTCATAATGTAAAATCGTGTGAGGCACAAGGGCTTAGAAACGTGAGGTAACTTCAAAATTTTACCATATAATGTAGGTTTGCATAAGTATCAGGTATTCCCTTCAAAAACACAGTATCGTCATAATGTTTGTGCTCTTCATGAACGAACTTGCTCAATTTGAATGGAGCCACCTTATCAGGATCAATTTGAAAGTCTCCACGATGATTCTAAGATAAAATGCTTTAAAGTTTAGCTATTATTAGCATACCTTATTAATATTCTGATCAGCTAAGAAAAAACGTAGAACGGTTCCATTAGGCTAAAAATTATTGTTAAAAATATTTGAGTTTATTCTTATTAAATTTAGCCATACGTTTACGTTTGGCTTACAAAAATACGAAATTAATAATATATTTTATCACCAAATTTAGCGAAATTGTTTTTTGCTAATAATAGAGGATAATTGGAATAAAACATGCAGTATAACCTGTATTAATTGCCCTCCCTCAAATAATTACCCCACTTCTATTAATTAATCCATTCAGCGATAGATTAAAACAATAATTACCAACCAACCAACAAATGCCTAAAACACGTTCAAATTTCAAACCTCGTTTAATTACCATCCCTCTATATTATTTACACCCTCCAGTAGAAAGGCGAAACAATAATTACCCAGGGTAGTTATTAAAGGATATAAGGTAGTTACTTTAACTCTATGAATAGTGAAAGATGAAGATGCAAACCGAGGGGACGGGGACTACTATTACACTCCACAATATAATTTATAAAAATATGCTTAAATTTACCCTATCTTTAAGCCATGTTAGTCTAATAGCTTCTCTGTTAATATAAGATTCTCGTCTTGAGAGCACCAAAATGAACACCTTTGTATCATTATTGCAAGGAGGATTGAGTGGTTCTTGTAAGGAGTAAGTGTGTTCCATATTTTTGAATTTTGAGGTAAAATTCCTTAAAGGCCTTGAATCCTCCTCCCAAGCTTGGTTTATCCTTTTTAAGTGTAGCAGCTGTCGAAATGCCAAATAAAAGGTTGAAAATATTAGAAAGATGAGACAAACACGAAACAGAACACGGAAACATGAACTTAAATTTATTTTTAATTATGGGAATTTTAATTAGGAGTGAACACGACTGGTTTTATAACAGAATATTTGGAACTTTTTGCCAACAAATTACCAAATTTACGAAATTTCAAAAACCGAACCGGAAATTAATGAAAATGACTGATTTAGTAAAAATTCCTCCATAAATTGACTAAAACGGCAGTGGAGACATAACTGGACGGACATATCGGAAATAGTTGTACAAATATAATTTTTTGTGAGTTAACGTTTGTTCTAAAACATAAAAACTCTATTCTTCAATGGGTATCGAGTAAACGATCGGATGTAGGTTCCAAAATCAGTAGCTGTTCTTACATTGAAATATCCCGTTATGTCCGTCCCGATATGTCCGCGTGCCACTAGAACTACAAAACGAAAACTGAGCTTCTAAAATTTAGATTAACCGAAAACCGGTTTTAACAGGTAATAACCGGTTGTGTCCAACCCTAATTTTAATCAAATACATAGTTGGCTTACCTAAAAAAATTGATGCGCACTTTAATTGGTTGGGTGAACATTTAATTTGGAATTTTAAACAACGACTAGGATGTCTGGAACTTCAATTAAATTTTAAAAATTAAAATAAATCAATGTAAAACTCCCAACTTTATTCTTTGTTGGATTTATTAAATAATCAAATATTAATTTTAAATTTAATGAGAGTCTCTCCGTTAAGCCGAAAAGAACGTGGCAATTCCTCTCTAAGCATATTAACAGAAAAATTTTTATAAAATTATACCCAAAGTTTCAAAAATTTTTATTTTATTATCAAATGTTTAAGCAAATGAAAAATTGCTAATATGGCCATAATTTTCCAATAAAAAATCAATTATGGCAATTCTGATAATTAAAGAAAATTCATCGTGGAATATTTGATGTGGGTATTCAATTTCGATTCTTGATATAGGTATCTGTTGTGTAGCGGTATCGCTATAGTATAAAGCCAGTGAAAGCGTCATTCTAGGCGACCATGCTAGCGGGGCTGGTCACTGATCTCCTTCGTCTCCTCTAGCTCTTTCAACCTCAACTGCATTGTACATTTCAACACCGGATAGACTGTTATTCTTGTGCACGTCAACATTACTTAAATCTCGGACACCTCCGGTTGTAACAATAATGTAGAAACCAAGCCCATTAAAGTTATAAAGTTATCAGCACTAATATTGAAGGTATCATTACATAGTGACGGTACTAATGGGGAAATGACAGGGAGGATTTAAAAAAAATTTTTTGGCTAATTATTCTTAAAAGTGTGAAAATATCCAAAACATTTGAATAAAAACCAAAAACATTTAAACAAGTCAAAAAATTATCACAGAAGAATACGATAAAATAAAATATAAAATAAATATGTAAAATATCGTCATTAAATCAACCATTAACTTGTTCGTTAATGGAAGCCACCATTAATTTCATCTCAAGCAGACCTATCTCTTTAATATATTTGCTGTTATATTTGATGATATTTTCATTAAATTTTTCAAATTCCTTGTTAAATGCTTTAATTAAATTTTCAATTTCATTCTCCAAATTTTTTTTAATTGTCTGGTACATGATTCTATTTTTTTCCGAATTAATTTTATTATTACAAGCTTCAAGGCGTTTATTTAATTTAGTGAAGTATGTATTTGCGTGTTCCTAAAAATATTAAATATAATAATATTTTTGAGAAAATTTTAGGTACTTTATTAATATCCCCCTCCCCCCCCTATTTGATTTAAGTCTCAGTTTATTCTCTTTTTTTAATGTTAATATCCTTTCCCTCACAAATTTTAAGTAAATAACAAGTTAGAAGGAGAAAAATTTGAAAGGACCCTTTTAACTTGTTATTTACTTAAAATTTTTGAGGGAAAAATTATTGACAGTAAAAAAGGAAAATAAATCTGAGACTCAAATAGGGGGAGTTTAATATTAGAATATCATTTTATAACTAATAATCTTATTTCATAAATCATAAAAGTTTATTTTGCAGCTTAAATTTCGTAAAGCAACCATGACCTAATCATCTGATTTTTTGATAGAAAGTAATATTAGAGGTTCGAAAAGTTAAATCAGCGAACATCATAGTTTAAAAAGATTGTTCGAGAAAATTTTAAAGGATTGGAACCGAAAAGAACTGTTAGTTTGAAATTAGCTAGTATAAAAGCGAAGCCTTTTAGTAATCCATAGTCGATTACCAGTTAGTAGTAGTCTTAGTCCGTAGTCAAAGCTATTATCCTACTCCAGCTCAGTCTCGCAAATTCTATTTTATTGTTACCTTCGTGATTAACCTTGTTAGTTATCTAGTCTTTCTGTTAGTATCGGACACTCTGCAAGTCGATGCACTTCAAGAATCGTGATAGATAATTAACAGATTTTAGAGATTTTCGATAAGCATAAGAGATCTTGATGGACAGTAAGCTATTAAAAGCCTAATTCTTATCTGATGATAAATAATGATTTTAAGAATTGTTGTGTCCGCACTTGTAGAAAAGTGTATAAATGAATAAATATAACACAGCATCGGTTTGGATGTTGGCACAGTCGGCTGTGTTTTGGTTTGGGCCCTTTCCATGATGACTATTTCATCTCGCATCCAATGAATTTTTCCACATCATAAACATTATAAAGATATGATTAAAAATATAAGATTTAAAAATGTTTTTAGGTAAGATTTTTTAAAGAAATATTTTTTAAAGAAAAAAGTAACGTATGTCTCGGTTGGAATAATTATACTAAGACCGTTAGTGATCGGTATTAAAAGTGACAAGCTCAATATAGTAGAAATCATGAAGAAACCGAGAAACGTGAACAATATTCGGGATAAATATGTATATATAGAAGCAGTACCAATATAACTCTAATCCGTTTTTAAACACATATTTTAACAATTAAATATCGGTTTTGTATTATTAATAGAATTAGTTTCAAGGGAATATATCTGTTAAGAAATGAGATTAATCTTTAAAAAAAATGGTTGATTAAGCAAAAAGTGTCTAAAGTATGATATGGATAAGATTAGCCTTTAAATATGATATAATTTAAAGTTATGAAGATCGTGGTTGCTTATAGATTTAGATTTAAAAACTTATAATAGAGTAATTTTAAATTTTTAAACTTAAACCCACTTTAGCATAGTGCATGACATTGGCATTGTTTTTAAATTCTTCAATCTATTTTAAAAAAGATTTTATTAAGAATCTACTTATAAGCTAATATCATTTTGATTTAATTTTTTCAAATTTCAACCAAAAACTTATATGTATAATAACCGGTTTTAATTATAACACTCAAATATTTAAATCGACGATTAAATCCCAATAGTTTTAGTTAAATTTTAAAGCATAGGTAATAACCAGTTTTTTATTAGCTAATTTGTTAGCTATGTTTCTATTAGCTTCGGTAGCTAGCTCCGGAGCCGGTGGGGGAGGAGCTACGATTATGAAAACCCCGGAGCTGGAGCCATGAGTTTGAAATGGCCGGAGCGGGAGCCTTGGTTTTCCAATTCCCCACGGATCCGGCTGTATACCCCTAAAGATGGGTGAAAGAAAAGAAGTGACAAAGATGGAAGGCGTGAGAAGAAATCCCTCATAATCCATCCAAATCATCGATAATCCACCCATATCCCGCGTAATCCCATGATCTCTCTTATTCACCTGATATCACTAGATATCCCCTCAATCCGCTTAAATTCCCGGAATACTATAAGTAAATCGCCGGCTTAGGAGATGAGCCAAGATTTTAAAAGAAAGGAGCCTAATCCTCGGATAATTATCCTAAGATCGATAGGTTTAAAATACAGTAGAATTATTATAAGCTAACTACCATTTCGGTTGCCTCAACCATGTGGATTTTCAATCTATAATTTGCATTCGCCAATGTGTCAATCTTTTTATTTAATTTCCTAATTGTCAATTCATGCTCAGTATTCTAAATTAATGTTTTAAATATTGGGACTGGTGATATTGAGAGGGAAATTAGGGAAAACAGAGGGAAAACCTAATTTAGAAAAGGTATATTTAATTGAAGTGTATTGGGTATTGAGAGGATGTGATTCAAGCATGTTTGAACTTTTTAATAGTTTAATTCCAATCCCGTTTTTTCAGTATTATTTCTTATAATTGCTGTCTCGAAACAAGGAATCTTCGAAGATTGAAAAAAGTTAAAAATATGTAACTAAATGGAAAATATTTTCAAAATCTCTGAAATCGA